CTGAAGGCAAAACAAGCAGAGATATTCGCAAAAAATTAGAAAATAGAAAATAATCAAAAGAAAAGAAAATATAAATAAAAATAACGAGAAAGAATCAGAAATGATTGTAAGATTCAAGTGAAGACGAGCAAGGAGAAGAGAATGCCAGAGGTGAGAGATGGAAAAGGAGAAGTAGGTATGAGAAGGCAGGCGAGACAACAGACAAAGGAGTAGAGAAGCAAGCATAAATAAAGAAAAAGAACGAAAAAGGAGATATATTCGTAAAATGAGTTTGAAGGAGGAAGGAAAATAGGAAGTGGGAGAGAAGGCAGATCAGGAACAGACAGAAAAGAAGGCGGAGAAAGAGAGAGGTGCAAGTTGGAAAGAGAGGAGAATAAGGAAAAATAACGAGAAAAAGCAGATGAGCTCGTAAAATAAAAGGAAAGACAGGAGGGAGGTATGAAGTGAGAGAGGTGGTGGACATGAGGGAGGGCGAAGAGACAAGGCAGTATGAAGGAAAGACAGAGAAGAAGAGGTAGAAGAGAAGAGGTGTGAAATAAAAGAAAATAAAGAAAAAAAGTAGAAAAGCTCGTAAAATAAAGATAAAGACAGGAGGGAGGTATGAAGTGAGAGAGGTGGTGGACATGAGGGAGGGCGAAGAGACAAGGCAGTATGAAGGAAAAGACAGAGAAGAAGAGGTAGAAGAGAAGAGGTGTGAAATAAAAGAAAATAAAGAAAAAAAGTAGAAAAGCTCGTAAAATAAAGATAAAGGAAAGCGGAAGGTATGAAGTGAGAGAGGACGGGTAGACATGAGGGAGGACGAAGAGACAAGGCAGTGTGAAGAAGAGAAGAGGAGGTAGAAGAAGTAAAAGAGAAGAAGGAGAAGTGGGTAATAAAAGAATATAAAGAGAAAATAAAATATAGAAAATATTAATAAGAAAATAATAGAAACGAATGTAAACATTAGGTGGAGGAGGGGAAAGCAGTAGTGAGAAAAATGGAGAAGATGAAAGAAGACAAGTAAGAAATAAGAAAAAAAGGAAAAAGGAAAAAGGAAAGAAATATTCGTAAAATAAAGGGAAAGCAGAGGAAAAAATAGAAAGTGAGAGAGAAGGCAGAGGAAGGTAGAGAAGAGGCAAGGCAAGGCATGAAGTAGAAGTAGAAGAGGGAAGGGAGAGAGAGAGAGAAGTAGGAAAATAAAAAAGGTAGAAATATTCGTAAAAAAAGAAGATGGCAGAAGAGGAAGAAGAGAGGCTTGGCGAAAGCACGGAAGGTGAAGTAAAGGCGACAGATGGGGAAGGCATGAAGTAGAAGTAAAGTAGAAGATGGAAGATGGTGAGTGGGAAGTAAGAGAAATAACGAAAAAGTAGAAATATTCGTAAAAATAAAGTGAAGGAGGCGGAAGAGGAAGAAAGGAAAAGGAGGAAGAGACGGGGATGAGAAGGGAAAGGCAAGGGAAGACAAGGGAGATGAAGTAGAGGTGAAAGGTGGGGAAGGAGGAGAGAGAAGCAGAAAAATAAAAAGCAAGAGAAATAAAGGAAAAGGCAGAAACGCTCGTAAAAATAAAGTGAAGGAGACGGAAGAGGAAGAAGGGAAAAGGAGGCAGGAGATGAAAAGGCAGGAGAAAGATGGTGAAGGGGGAGAGATGAAGAAAAGAAGATAAGGCAAGAGGAATAGAGAAAGATAGAGAAAAAAGGCAGAAACGCTCGTAAAAATAAAGGAAGAGGAGGAAGAGACGGGGGATGAGAAGGTGAGTAGGCGAAGTAGAGGAGAAAGCAGGGAAGGTGTGTAGGTAGAAGAAAGAGAGGGAGGAAAAAGATAGAGAAAAAAGGTAGAAACGCTCGTAAAAAAGAAGAAGGCGGAAGAGGAAGAATAGTGGGAAGGCAAGGCAGGGATAGAAGGGAAGGCAAGGGAGGTAATAGGCAAGAGAGAGATGGTGAAGGGGAAGAAAGAAGGAGGATGGAGAGAGGAAAAGAAGAGTAAAAGAAAGAAGAGAAGAAAAAGGTAGAAATGCTCGTAAAGAAAAGAAGACGGCGGAAGAGGAAGAAGAGAGGGAAGGTGACAGCACGGAGGGTGAGTAAGAGAAGAAAGAGAAGAAGAAGAAGGATGGAGAGAGAGAGAAGTAGGAAATAGAGAAGAAAAAGAAGTGGGAGATGGAAAAAGGAGAAAAGAAGTGGAGAAAAAGAGGTGGGTGATGGAAAAAAGGAAAAAAGAGAGAGGCGTGTGGATGAAGGTAGAGAAGGAGGGAGGAAGAAGAAAGTGGAAAAAGAGAAAGAAAGGAGGAGAAGAAGAGTAAGAAAAAAGGTAAGAGAAGAAGAAAAAGAGAAAAAGGCGCAGTGGGTGAGGAAAGGGAGAAAAAGTGGAAGTGTGTGTGAGGAAGTAGAAGTGAAAAAAAGGCGCAAGGTGGAAAAAGGAGAGAAAAAAAGAGAAGTGGGTGTGTAAAGAAAGGAAGAAAAAGAAAGTAGTGATGAAAAGTGAAAAAAAAGGAAGAGGTGAGTGTAGAAAGAAAAAAAAAGAGAAGAGGTGGAGAAAGAAAGAAGGGAGGTTACTTGGGTTACTTGGTTTGGGTTACTTGGGTTACTTGGGTTACTTGGGTTACTTGGTTACTTGGGTTACTTGGGTTACTTGGGTTACTTGGGTTACTTGGGTTACTTGGGTTACTTGGGTTACTAGAGGGGGAGTTTGGATGGATTCGGGGGTAGATGAGATGGGGGGATGACGTAGGTAGGGACCGATGGTCCCGGGGGACCGTGGGGGTAGTAGGAAATGGGGGACCGTGGGGGGGGTATGATTAGGGACCATTCAGGGACCGTTTGGGGACCATTGGGTTTGAAGGTTGGGACCATTGGGACCATTGGGAGCATTTTCGTCGTATGGTCCTTGGAGTTTGTTGGGGACCGTTTGGGACCGTTGGGACCGTGGGGGCCAGGGACCTTTTAGTTTTTAGGGACCGTGGGGGTTGTTTTCGAGGACCATGGCCCCTGTATGGTCCTCTGGGATGGGACCGAAAGATTTTTTGGTTGGGGGGGGGGGGACCATTCAGGACCATTTGGGGACCATGGTGGCAGGGAGGAAACACAAGCAAGTTAAGTTGTTGTTGAAGATGAAGATGTCAATTTTGATTTTGATTTTGATTTTGATTTTTTTGGTTTTGTTTTTTTTTTTTTTTTTATTATTCAATTAAAATAGTTTTTTTCTTTTTATTCTAATATTTTTTTTGGCGAGTTTCAAGGCTCGTTCATGAGATAATATTTTTATATTTTTAAACAATAAAAGAAGAAAAAAGAAATTGAAAAAAACTATTTTGATGCCGTTTGAACCATTAGATATCGAGTTATTGCTAAAGAAAGAGTTCCTATAGAAAAGGTAAGGCGGTGGCACAAAGGCTGGTGGTGAGTGGACTTTGTCGTTGAAAGGCCAACCAAGACCAAGTAGGCAGGTAAGTACGGTACGGTAGGGTAGGGTACGTTAGAGTAGAGTAGGGTAGGGTAGGGTAGGGTAGGGTAGGGTAGAGTAGGGTATGTCTAGACAGAGAGAGAAAATGTAGTTTGATTGCTGAGAATATTCGAAATTTTTTTTTTCATTTTATATTGTTTTATTTGAAAAATGCAATATATTGATAAAAATTTCAGCACGTATATCGAGCTCGTTTTTGAGATTCTATTTTTTTGTTTTATATAATAAAGAATGAAAAACATTTTAATGAAACTATTTTGACGCAGTTTCGTCAAGAAATGATCGAGTTATTCGCTAAAAGGAATTATTATGTTTACTTAGCGGCTCTCGCTCATAGTTTGCAAAGTATGACGTACAAGGTAAGGGTAATGCATAAAAGAGAATGCTTGTAAGATTTATACAGACAAAAGGAAAGGCCAGACAGAGGTCGTAGAAACGTAGCAAGTATAGACAACAGATAAAGCAAAAAGAGATGAAGTGACCGAAGGATGAGAATTCAAATGGTTTTTTCTTTTTTCAATTCATTTTATGTCTGAACCCTACAAGAAATTGGGTTGCAATTTTGTTTTGTATAGATTTTTTTGCTTGAAATACTTTTCTCATTAAGCTATCGGGTTTTTGGTCAAAAAATAGAAATAAATAAATAAAATGATTTAATCAAATATATAGATAAAAAAACGAACCATAAATATCCAACAGAAAAGACACAATTCAAAAAAAAACAAAAAAAAATAAATAAATAATAAAAAGTAAATAAATAAACAATGTGGGAAATAAACCAATACGCCGAGATTCGAACCCATGTACCTTCGCACAAGTCCGGGAAATTTGCAATAATCGACGGATCAGTTGATTACTAAGTTTTGACGTATAGGTGCGGGGTAATAGATGGTTGACGGACTTCGCCTTCCGTTTCTTTTTCTTTGTTTGTTTTACTTATCAGCAGAGTAGACAAAGAAGGGAGGCTTAGGGATACGGTGATTGGGAGGTCGCGTCGCGTTTCTTTGTTGATTTTCCCCGCTAGATCTGCCTTTGTATATCTCTTTTGTTTATTTCAAATATGACTATAAATACCCTTGTTAAAACTGTTTATTGTTATTATTCTTTATTAAATGTAAAATATAAAAGAAAGAAAGAAAGAAAGAAAGAAAGAAACAATCAAACAATGAAAGAGACAATGGTTGAAAAAATCCTATATAAACTAGCTTAGCCAATTGCAAATGTTGATAGTGAATCGACAAAAGACAAATATTGGATTTTGTCGGTCTACTGGTTTCAGTCGTTTTCATTTCATTGTTTTATTATTGATTATTTCTTATTTCTTATTTTATAATTTTATACTTTATACCCCTCACCCGGAGAAAAGAAGAAACGAACGACAAATGTTTTCCTGCAGATACTGTTCCCAGAGCTTTTTGTCATCCAATACTCTTGATTATCATCATCGAAAGTTGCATCAAAATTTTGTACACATAGCGATAAATGATAATCGGGATCCTACTGTCGTAAAGATGGTTCGGAACGAGGGTGGATGCTTTGTATGTTGCTGTAAAAAGCAGTTTACAATGCCTAATAAATTTAGGGAACACGTCAAGGGGTGTGGCACGTTTATTGATCTGTATGTTGTAGGACCCAAGGAATCGAGGATAGAAGCAGCAAAGAACAATCAGGATGTGAATGTTGTTGCAAAAGGAAACGATAAAATTATAGAGGGAAAGGAAGCTGTTTCGTCTATTGCTATTGATGTTGATGATGAAGAGGACCAAGATGAAACAAGGGACGACTATGGAAACGATAATGATGATAATGACAATGACGATAATACCGACCGAAAGGACGCGAATAATGATAATGACAAAGCCAAAAACAATGTACAACCGCAAAAGAATCAAATTTCGACCGATACCATCAACAAACTTCAAGACGAAACGGCTTTACCGTCTGACTATCGTTCTTCTTTCAATCTAATCTCCTCCCATCCAATTTCTGTTCCTGCACTATATCCGTCTCTTACTCCTACACCTACACCTACTCCTTTTCCTTCTCCGTCTCCGTCTCTTACTCTTACACCCAATCGTCTTGAGACTGCTTCGGAAACAGCATCTTCCGTTGCTAGGATTGGTGTTGAAGACGAGACGTTTGATATGAAGCAAGAATGCGTTTGGCAAGGTACCCAAGATAACTCTTGTTGCTCGCATGAGTCTCCTTACTACGAGATCAACCAAGGGTTAGCTACCTACGGCTTGCAAATTTTATCGATCCATGCTGTATCGTGCGTCGAATGTGGAGGTCTGCTGGATGTAGAACATGTCAAATCACACATGCAAAACGTTCACCATGTTTTTCGCTTTGAAGATGAGGTTGAAAACCTGTTTAAGCAGATGAATCACATCGATCTAAAGAGTCCATCCACCGTGTCGAACGAGCGTTCATCCTCATGGGAGACGTATCCGTGTATATTCGGCTTGCCTGTTTTGTTGAATGGATACGAATGTACCATTTGTTTTGATAGTGGAGGAGGTTTTGTTCATGGAATTGCGGACACGTTTTACCGTCATGTTCGACGGCATCATGGGAGGACCGTGAATGTCAATGAGTGTATGCGACGAGTTTCGTTGCAAACGGTGAAAAACAAAGCTATCAAAGACATCGATACTTTAAAGTGGATTTCGCTCCCGTAGTAGGAGAAGATAGAAATCATCAATTGGATTCGTTGATTGATTCTTGGTATTTGGATCGTGTGGACGAAGATTCTGATGCCGATGCAAATACAAATACATATACAAACACATACGCTAGAAAACGAAATGCAACTGAAGAGTATGGCGACGACAACGATTCGGTGGATGCTCGTCAAAAGAATTTGCTAAACCAGCAACTGGGTTGGGAGCCATTGTCAAAGCACTTGGCCGTAACTGGCAAGGCTTGATTGGATGGCATTACATTGACGGAGCCATAAACTCCAAGATTATCCTGGAAGAGTTGATTCGGTATTATTATAGAGGATTTCAGTACTTGAAGTGGATGATGATTGGCACGAGAAAGTTGTTTACAGAAGGAGGAAACTACAGTGCGCAAGAGCGTGGGTTGAATCCGCTGGAGCAAAGGGTCAGCGTCGTCAATTATGCGCGAAGTACTGCTCGGTATTTGATGTTTTTATTACGACGACCAAATTGTCAAAAGAATGGCCATGTACGATCCCATTTGGAACGGATGTGCAGAATCGTTTCGGCTGAAGCTGAAGCTGAAGCTAAAGCGAAACAAGGCGGTGGTCGAAAACGAAAAGAGATGAATCACACCTAGGAAAAGAAGCAACAGTCGAAGACGAAGATGCCAAAGTCTCTGAATGGATTGATACCGCTATTGGCGATGATGATAATGATAATGACAATGACATTATCATGATGGAGGAAGAAGCGTTGGATGAGAGTGAAGAAATCGAACGCGAACGTGCTTTACAATTAGAGTTGGAGCAACAGAGACAAGAGGAAGAAGCTGCTGGTATACAGAAAGACCAAAACAATGACCGAGGGCAACAGGACGGTGACGACGTTGACGACGACGCTGACGAGAAGGAAGAAAGAAGAGGGTTCTACTTTCGAAAGGATGAAGCGTATGCTGAATTGCACGAGGCATTAAAGTTGGCTTTTCTACGACAGTACGAATTCTCGGAAAGTATCCGCGACACAGAAATCGTCAAGTTCTTGGCATGCTTGTCTCTGCGTGACGATGGAACGTCAAGGTATGCGTATGAAATTTCGTCGTTCTTTGCTCCCTTGATTTATACGTGTCGTTTGGTCGCTGCCAGTGAATTGCAACGGTTGGTTGAGGAAGGAAAAGTCACACTGTCTTCTATACCAGAGTTTCATACGGCTGGTTCCTTTGCATACACACACGTGTTTCGCTATATATCTCTGGGCAAAAGGAATATCTACGACATTCTGTATGAAGCCAACAAAATCGTACGTGATGTGACTAGGACGGAGGGGTATGCGAATACCTTGGAAGGTCTGAACCCGTCAAGGGTATTGTTTCGACCGGCGTTCAATGCCAAATATACGATTGTTGGGAGCCATATCAACAATATGGTTGTCTTGGACCTAAGTGATCTGAGCCATCTGTATGAAAGCATGTTTTCAAGGTTGCAATTGCTCTTGGAGGAATTATGCTTTGGTGTGGATATGGAAAAGCTACTACCAAGTTCTTTGTTACAGTCAGTTGGTGACGATATTAACAATAGCAAGCTGGGGTATTCCTTTTCAAAGAATCCGTAGACATTCGGATGACGAGAAGTGTGCTGTTGCGAACGGTTTTGAAGAATGATGAACTTCGACATCGATTTTTGCCGCTTGTTTCCAGGGACGACTTTTACGACTATTTTGAAGAGCTTGTCCAAGCGAACAAAAAGAAAGCCAGAATGGCACCCAAGAGCAAGACTGGACCGATAAAGAGAAAGAGAAAGAGAAAAGAAAGGCTCGAGGATAGAGAAAAAGAACGACATGTCGTGGATGGATGACTTTGACGCAGTCTTCAAAAAAGATTTGAAATGGTCAAAGACATCGATTCTGAATTATGAAACAAAGGCGACCAAGTTCAATGAGCTGTTGTTTTGCTTGGTCTATATTTCGGCTGGACAACCGGCGAGAGCAAAAGAAATGGTACATTGGACGCTGAAGAATTCAAAGTACAAAGCACGAGAGCTGTACTTGATGTTTGGTCGTTTGATGATTTACAGCCGGTACGACAAGACGAGAAACATGAAGTTTGCGGAAAAGCCAATCCCTCGATTCCTCCCAGAGTCTCTGTCAACATTGGCCCTTCGATACTATGCACTAGTACGTCCGTTTCAAGCATTCTTGAGCTCTGTGAAAACAGGAAACAAACAAGCAGCTGCTGTTTATACGAATGCTATGTTTGTTGTGAATGGTGGGAAACGTTTGGATAGTGGGATGCCTTATCGAATATTTCCAAAGGTGACATATGAATGCCTTGGAAAGCCGTTGGGATTTCGAAATTACCGACATATTGCTCATTACTTTAAAGAAAGAAATTTAGAGGAAGACATGAGCAAAAATTCGTATTTTGATCTACAAGCCGGGCATACTCGAAGTACAGCGCTTCTCATCTATGGACGCACGATGGACAAGTTGCATTATTTGCCAGCGGATTACTTTGCGAATTTTTTCGAGCAAGTTTTCAATGGCAAGAGCTGCTAAAAATCAAAGACAACTCTGCACATGGTCTCTTGGTTGAACAATGTAATCCAATCCTAAAAGAAATTCGCGAGTCGACGAAAGAATTGAAGAGCATGCTACACAGTGCTAAACAAGCGGTTGAAGAAGAAGGTAAAGAAAAACAAAAGGGAGAAGAAAAGTCGCCAAAGCAAAAAGTGTGTGTTTCTTGTTTTTCGGCAACAACAACAGCAACAGCAACAGCAACAGCGACAGCAACAGCAACAGCCTTCGTGGTCGGATACTGGCTCTCGTGGGATTCCTCCTTCACAGATCTACGTTCAACTTTGCCGTTGGGCATTAGCCCAATTCTGTGGACTGAGTGCAAAGTTTCGGTCCAAGAAACAATTTCATTCAGTTTATTTTTCTGTGCAAGGTCAGAAGAATCTGATTATTGTTCTTCCTACAGCATCGGGTAAGTCATTATCATTTCTGTTGCCAGCCTTGATTGATAAAACCATTCGACCAAACAATACCACATTGGTTGTTGTACCCGCGATATCCTTACGTGAGGACATGATGCGAAGAGTTAACGAAACAGGACTTGTCGAATGCACGAATACTTGGACTCAGTACAGGAACCAACCCGTGACTCCGTCGTTAAAACTGCCCGACCTGTTTATCCTTACGTACGAGTCTGCACTGTCCAATTCTGCATTGGCTTTCTTTGAGAGTCTTGGCGTTGCTGGTCGCTTAGCTCGTGTTGTTGTGGACGAAGCCCATAGTCTGTTGACGGATAGTACTTGGAGAAACACTTTGCTACAGGCACCAAGATTGTCGGCATTGTTTGCACCGATTCATCTGTTGAGCGGAACGTTTCCACGACCGCTGGAAACTTGTGCTAGCAAAACTTTTGGTGCTACGTTTACCGTTGTGAGAGACATATCGACAGCGCGACAGAATCTATTGTATCTTTTACGTCCGCTAGTGGCTAATGCGTTTTTGAACGAGTTGAGTGTCTTGATGCAAAGAGCTAGTGTCTATGAGGGCGATGGTCGTGTGATTGTGTTTTGCCAAAAAAGCACGAAGTGGAATACCTGCAACGAAAGATTCAACGGTCGGATCTTTTCCCTTGTACAGATGCCACGATTTACACGGGAGATTTAGATGAAGCGGAACGAAAAAGTCGTTTGAAAAGTTTCGCAACCCGAATGGTAGGACACGAATCATGGTAGCAACCAAGGCGTTTGGTCTTGGGATCGACTATGGTGAAGTGCGTCTGGTAGTGCATTATGGATTACCGACTTCGTGTATGCAGTACGCTCAGGAAACAGGGCGAGCGGGAAGAGATGGTAAGTATGCTATTGCAGCTCTTTCTACCAGGAACACGATTCTGTGTGGTCCAAGCATGTGGACGAGTCGATGAAGATGTTTATGAAGGACAAGACGATGTGTGTGCGTTCATACTTTGCAGCAGAGATGGATGGGGATAGTGATTGTTGTTCTTCATTTGAGAATTGTGTATATTGTTCTAGGTGTGCACAGATGTTTCTTGGTGAGTCAGCAATGATAAATATTCATGGATCAAACTTGGGGAACGGAGGAAATCGTACGATCGATGGAAGTACTAGCGAAAATGCTCGTACAGCATATAGTTTCTCACCAAACATGGGCGTGAGCATGAGTAAGGGCAATGGCAACGGCAACGGCAACTTTTTGGAAAGTTCGACGCCAAAGCCAAAGTCAAAGTCAATAAAAGTTGGACATACACAGTCTTTTCTTCCGAGAAGGAAAAGGAAAAGGAAATGACAACACCCAAACTTGTTTCTGCCAGTACTCCAGAGTTGAGTAGTGGTATGTCTGGGACAACCTTGTTGACACCGGGCAGTTCTAGCTCGATTATGCATTCGCCAACGTTGAAAAGAATTATATTTTGGATAAGCCTGCGCATGACAAACTTGGAAAGGACGGTAATTCTCCAAAGGTGGATGATGAGTATCGTGTTCACTCGCCGTATATGTCGTTTCAGAAGCGGCTCGCTGCTTGGGACAAAGATTCGCCCGTCAAGAGAAACAAAAGCGCTGGTATGGCGACGTTGAGAAAGCCTGGTGGATATGTTGGAGTTGATAATGAAGAAGATGATGATGATGATGTTGAGCAACAATTGCAGCGCAAGAGATTGTTGGAGTATAAGAGTCGTGTTCAAGATGTCAATCAACAGTTGATGGATGAGAATGCGATATCAGCGTCAGTTGCTGAATTCTTTGGGGTATCGAAAGACGACTGTTTGTTTGCTTGATTATGGATCCTGATTCAAAACTCAAACAGCATCAACCGGGCAGATGCCCGATTGAGAGGAGTGCGTGTTTCAGGTGCCGTAAAACGGATCATGGAAGAGCCCATTGCAAGATGGATGTTCAGTTTAAGGGAGTATGTAAGTATTGTGGATTAACAATCCAAGAACATGATTCTGGTGACTTGGGATACACCCCGGAATGTCGTTCTTGGGCAAGAAATCAATTGATACCGCTTACTTATACGGCATGGAACAGTAGGCTGTTTAAAAAATCCATTGCAAATGAATTTCTCAATGGAGATACCACAGACGAAACATTTTACAAGTTTGTTTGTACCTCAACTATGAGGGTCTCTGGGTTTGTTCTTGTGATTCGACATGTGTTGGATGAACATTTGCATGCTCTGTAGCTCACTAGTTTAGGGATGAAAGTTTTAAAGTTGCAGGTTCAACTTTGACTCTTTATTTTAAATTAAATTAAACTTAAAATTCAAAATTCAAAGTTCAAATCAAAGTCAAACACTGGATGACTGCTTTGTCAAATATCAAACACATGATTGCTTTGATGTTGAAAAACTTTGCTAAATACTGTATAGTTATAGAATAGAGTAGATAGATTATGATAATAGATAATAGACAAAAATTATTGAATACAATTTAGTTGAATTCGATTCCATCGTTTGTAAATGCTGAAAGCTGTAGTTTTTATGTCGTAGTGTCTTGCTTACTTGGGAACTAGTTCAAGATGAAGATGAAGATGAAGTAAAAAAGTTCAAATTGACTTTTTTTTTATAGTTCAATTAGAATAGTTTTTTTCTTTTTATTCAAATACTTTTCATGTCGAGTTTCTGGCTCGTTCATGAGATGATATTTTTGTATTTTTAAACAATAAAAGACGAAAAAGAAATTGAATAAAGCTGTTTCGACACCATTTCGACCGCTGAATGTCGAGTTATTCACGATATTGTCTATGGTATGGATGGGCGTACCTACGTACTTACTAGCAGTTGGTGGTGAGTCTTGGTCTTTTGTCGTAGACAGGCAGAGACAAACAGAGACAGGTAGAAGAGGTAGATGAAAATGGAAAAGTATTGTTGAAAATGGTCAAAATTTTTTCATGTTATATTGTTTTATTTGAAAAATGCAATATACTAATTAAAGTTTAAAGGCGTATATCCGACTCGTTTTTGAGATTCTATTTTTTACGTTTTATTGAATAGAATACAAAAATACAAGTTTAACAAAACTCGTTTGAAGCGATTTGTCGAGTTATGTCGAGTTATTCGTAAAGAAAAGGTACGACATGCACTTGTGTAGGTAGGTAGGTAGTGCTCTCGACTTGGTGCTGGAGTTTGCCGGGTAGGATTAGGATTGGGCACTGGAAGCCAATTTGCAAAACTGATTTTAGCCGTAGCGTCTTGACGATCGTAGTGCACTTTACCAGAGTTGGGCTGCGGTGTGATATGGAATGTAATGCATTCCAGCGACATCCATAAAACTGAAAAGTGAATTCTCTCGTCGCTATGTAAACAGCCATAAAGACTCGCAAGCCGAATACGATAAGTGGAATAGGACTACACGCAAGCGTCTACTATACATAATAATGATATATAGCGTAGTATATAAGTAAATAAACAAAAGTCAAAAAATTAGTAAATAAATAAAAAAAATAAAAAAATAAAGTGAAAATATTCAAAAAAAAATTTGTTTTTCTACTGTTTGTATGAATAAATAATGTATATTCAGACATGTTTCAAAGCGTGTATCCAGCTCGTTCATGAAATAATATTTTCTTTATTTAAATCAATGAAATAAAAATATTCAAACTCAACAAAGTGCTTTTGAATGGATTTCATTCGCTAGATGTAGAGATATTCGCAATTTTGTCAATACAGTAGGTGAGTGAGTACAGTGGGTGTCGCAAGTAGATATGAAAGGAAACAGCCAGCGAACGAGCAGTGTTAAAGAAAGACAAACCGAATTATAACAAAATGAATTATAAGACATATTCGTTGATGAAAGAATAATTGAAACAAAGAAAGAGCAAAAAAGTCAAAGGGATGAACTTGTTTGTTGCATGGAGGAATACAAGTCAACCAGATTCCAGCACGACCCAACACAAGTAGCATATTAAAAGTAAAAGTTTATTTTGTTTATTTTGATAATAGGCAGCCTGTAGTAGGATAGCTCTGTGCTTGGCAGATAGAATTCTTTGAGTTTGTAAGAGAATAAGCAAGTAAATAAAAAGCAGAAAAGCATAAAGCATAAAATAAGAAAAAGATGAAGATAAAGAAAAAGAAAAAGATAAACTTGAAAAAAGTAGGATGTTTGTAGAAATCTGAAGCGGAGAAAAGAAAAACAGCTACGCAAAGGCAAACACTTTCTTCATCAACGATTCGACCAACTATTTGAATATTGCATGAATTCATTACACGTTTTATAAGTTTTATAAGTATTATATATTATATTTTATATATTTTAATTATATATTATGTAGAAAAATATTGAATTTGTTTTAGAAAATGAGAAAACAAGCTATGCTCAACGAAATAAACGAAATTTGTGTCGAGCAGTTGTAAACGGCGTGGCGTTGTTGCAAGAAGCCAACTGAATATAGCATAGAGTAGATAAAGATACAAACATTGTATTGTGCTGAAAACAAAAACATTAATCGAAAGAGATCCATCAGAAAACAAGGGTATTCTTACAACAACATACTATAGCAAAAGAAGGGCTGTAGACTGAATCTAGATAGCTAGAAATAAAAAGAAACTATCGATGAAATGTTGAAATAAAGAAAAAATACAAGAAAATGATGAATAGAGGATGATATTGGGCAGAAACGTTAGTGGAGTACTTGATTATCCTTGTTGGCAGGTGATGTGGGTGATATAGGTTTTACAGGTGATAGGTGATAGGTGATAGGTGATTCAGGTGATAAGGTAACCTGGGTGATGAGGTGATAGAGGTGATAGGTGATAGGTGATTCAGGTGATCAGGTAACCTGGGTGATGAGGTGATAGAGGTGATAGGTGATAGGTGATAGGTGATAGGTGATTTAGGTGATGAGGTGACAGGTGAGCGAGGTGACTTGGGTGATAGGTGATAGAGGTGAAGACTTGGTGAAAGGGAAATGTTACATAGGAAGAGAAGGAATTAAAAGAACGAAATAAAGAAGGAAGAAGAATGAAAATAATTTTATGATAATAATATTAACAAAAAATAAAATGAAATAAAAAGTAGTCAGTAAAGGAACGTAGAAGAAGAGAAAATAAAAACATAGAAATGAGGATGCAGAGAAGCAATAAGAAAAGTAGGGAAGAATGAGTGAACGAAAAATAAGAAATCAAACAATTAAAAGCAGAAATACTCGTTAAAACATGGGTAGGGAGAGAGGTAGAGTTAGAAAGGGGGAGAATGGAGTTGAGTTGGTGAGTGCTGGGTAAGGAAGAGGGACTAGAGGTAGAAGTACAGCAGAGTAATTTGGATGAATATGAGTAGATAGGAGGAATTAAAGAAGGACAGATCAATGAGAAGAATAGAAATATAAATAAAAGTTGAAGAAATCTTTGTTGGAACGACAAGGAGAAGAGTAAAGAGACGAAAGGATGTTTGGGTGTATAACTAAGTCAAGACACGATATATTCGTTACGAAAACATCAGAATAGAAATGAAAAATAAAAGAAATGTTTGGTGTGTTACAGAATGAAATGGGAAGAGTGGTTGTGGAGTGTGGTAGACAGAAGGAGAGCAGAGGAGGGTAAACAAAAGAAAGGAGAGAGAGAATGTGAACGAATGGATGAATATGAATGAAAATGACAACGCAATGCATTAAAAATAAATTAAATAATATAAAATGTATTTGACACCATACAGATAAACACAAGTGGAAATAGAATATATATTATAAAGTGAGAGGCAGAGGAGATAGTTCAAGTAGAAAACCCAAATAAGAGAAAGAAATATTCGTAAAAATAAAAAATGAATAGAATAATTAATAAAACATACAATGGGAGCGAAAGCAGTCGTATAGCAAGCACGGGATGAGGCAAAACATCAAAATGACAGGGGAAGAGAGGAGTGAGAAGGGGACTGAAGGCAAAACAAGCAGAGATATTCGCAAAGAAAATAGAAAATAGAAACTAATAAAAATATAAATATAAAAGAATGGTCGACAGTAAGCAAGGAATAAAAGTATTTGAGTGTTGGACAACTAGTGAATGAACAATAGATGTACAGAAGCAGAGGGAGAGAAACAAAAACAAGAAACGATCAGAACAATAAAAGAATATTTAAAGAAGAAATATTCGTAAAAAATGAGGAATGATGGGTGGAGAAAGAATGGAAAGTAGTAGTAGGCAGATGAGAAGGGAGGGAGGGCCATGAGAGCAGAGAGCAGAGAGCGGTGGACGACATCCAAGTGGGAATGAAACAAGAAGCAAGCAGGCCAAGAGAATAAATTGAATAGAAATGAAAAAATAAAAAAGGAATCAACGTAGAGATAAATAGAAAAGTTAGGGAAAGAAACAGAAACGATTATAAAGATGAGTGAAGACGAGCAAGAAGTAGAGAATGCCAGAGGTGAGAGATGGAAAAGGAGAAGCAAAAATAAAAGAAAATAACGAAATGGGAGATATTCTCGTAAAACGTAGGTGAAGTCAGGTGGGAGGTATGAAGTGAGAGAGGTGGTGGACATGATGGAGGGCGAAGAGACAAGGCAGTATGAAGGAAAAGACAGAGAAGAAGAGGTAGAAGAAGTAAAGTGGGTAATAAAAGAAAATAAAGAGAAAATAAAAATAAAAATAAAGAAAATATTAATGAGAATAAGTAGAAACGAATGTAAACATTAGGTGGAGGAGGGGAAAGCAGTAGTGAGAAAAATGGAGAAGATGAAAGAAGACAAGTAAGAAATAAGAGAAATAACGAAAAAAGAGAAAAAAGGTAGAAACATTCGTAAAAAAAGAAGGAAGAGGAAGAAGAGAAGCAAGGCGAAAGCACGGAAGGTGAAGTAAAGGCGACAGATGGGGAAGGTGAGTAGGCAGAAGAAAGAGAGGGAAGGGAGAGAGAGGGAGAAGTAGGAAAGAAACAAAAGGAAGAAAATAGAGAAATAACGAAAAAAGCAGAAACGTTCGTAAAAATAAAGTGAAGGAGGCGGAAGAGGAGGAAGAGACGGGGGAGGTAATAGGCAAGAGAGAGATGGTGAAGTAGAAGTGGAAGATGGAAGATGGAGAGAGGAAAAGAAGAGTAAAAGAAAATAGAGAAGAAAAGGTAGAAATGCTCGTAAAGAAAAGAAGACGGCGGAAGAGGAAGAAGAGAGGGAAGGTGACAGCACGGAGGGTGAGTAAGAGAAGAAAGAGAAGAAGAAGAAGGATGGAGAGAGAGAGAAGTAGGAAATAGAGAAGAAAAGAAG